ATACGCATTTCTAACTCTTGTTGACCAGTGTAAGCATTCTGAGTAGAAAAGAAAATATGAATGATTAGAGAAAAAAAATATGTTCATTTTGCCTATTACTTGATATAATTCTTCTAATTGAGAAACACTACTTGACCACGTCTGTCTTTCTTTTTCACACGAATCTTCTAGCTGTTTAATTTCACGTTCATTTAATACTTGTTGCGCCTAAAGAAGAAAGAAATACATCTAGATAACGGTATACACATATATATCTAAAAACATCTACGTACTTGTAATATGGACATTGCTTTTCTAAATTTAGCTTCCAATAAAAATGGATCAAAATTTTGACTTGTAACATTTCCGTCTGTTGCTTTATNCGGCTGTTGCTTTATAAGCAACATTTTCAATCAAATTATCAACATCAAATAGCTCCTGTTTAGAGAAAATAATAAATTAAAAATAATTCTAACCAAGAACAAATTTTCTAGAATTACCGAGTCTAATTCAGTTAAAACAAGTTGATCCATTATCGTTTCTTCATACAATTGATGATTGTATTACTTCTTCAAACACATATCTAAAAACAGACAATTTTTGATAAACTAAAATATTTACTCATTGATAGTCATTTGTATTTCTGAAGAAAAATTTGAGTTTTGAAATCAGTCTTCGTGCATAACTATACATTTGGTAGAGATGAAAATGTTCTAATATGAAAAAATAAAAATATATTTCATTCTGAAAAGTTCATAAATAAAAACTGATGCTAAAATTTCTATATATATTTATATTTTTTCAACGTATCCATCCGAGGCGACAGGAAGTGACTCGTCGATCACTAACGAGGATAATATAGACAAGAGCCAAATTTAATTTCTCTTTTTATTGTTGTTTTCATTTTCTTCTCTCTGTTCATTGTATCCATTACACATTGTAAGTATTACAATTCTACAGTAGACACAAAAACAGATGACTACTTTTTGTACATAACGAAAAAAGTTTCATAGGTCTTAGACATGCATTGTGATTGAAAGCATTGAATAATGCATTGGATAGGCGTCAAACTAGGAAATTTTTAAAATATGACTCATAGCATTTGTTAAAATAAATACCTCGATTAAACACAGAGTTGCATAGTCATAAGATTAAGAAAAGATCCGGTACATTCATTGATGTTGTAATCATAATCGAAAACTAATTGACGTACCGTACCGTAAGTCTGTAAAAAAAATGGTAGACTCACACAGTTCACGCTTTCATCTATCAGAGATAGCTCACCCGAGATTTTTCACTGTTAACAATATCCTATATGCAATATTTATAAAAATTGACAGTCGAACAATTATTGTGGTAAAAAACATAATCTGCAAACAGCTAGAATTTTAAACGTAGAACTTGCGTTTATTTAAGAAAAAGTAACAGAAGTTCAATATCTTAAAATAGTACTTTCTCAAGATGGTTTAAAGTGGAAGATGGATGGGCTCAGCTTTCGTCAGTTCGATTCTTATAAAAAGAAAAACTTTATTTCAGTAAAAGTGTAGAATGATAAAAAATATATAGGGAGAGTTCAACAGAAATAGTATTTTGATATATTTAGAAACTATTATCACAAATTTGCTAACTGTCTTTCAAGTTCTTTTACTCGTTCTTTCGATTTTTGTAAATCAGGATCATTTTTTAATTGTAACAGTTTATTTCTTATTGTATCTGTTCTCATTGATGCTAGACAAAAATCTAACCAACTTCCATAACAAGAATCTTCATGTGGTAAACCAGATGAAATACGATCCCGGTAACGGCTCTGTTAGGAGAACTCTGAAAATATATTCTAGAAGATGTTGATATCATCTGTAATATTTACTAGAAAAAGTTCCGTGAAAATCGGTCTCTTTTTTTAAGTTCAAATGCGTTGGTGAGTAGCGATTTTGATTGAAAAGTGCTAGCTATTTATCGCTAGTTATTTATCTACCTCTTAGTGTTTTTAGTAGGATTTTTTCGCACAGCGTATGCGCGCACTCTGTTTTTCCAGCTGAAATACGTCGAGACAATCTGATTTCTTCGAGAAAAGTGGGCAGATTCTCAAGAAAAATACTGTTGCACTTAAAGATAAGAACATCTTTTTTTTCGTGGGGATCTTTCTTGCATCTAA